GTGGGGCACCAAAGGACAATGAGATGGAGGAGGCACAAAATCATGGCAAGGCTATCAACTCAGGTGCAAGTGCAGCAACTGTAGTAGTTAGTAGCAATTCAGGAAAAGAAGCAAATAATCCAGAAGCACATATGGATGTTGATTTTGAAGAGGATGATTTATTAGATGAGGGGAATGATCTGAGTGATGCGGTACGCAATTTTGTGGGAGTCAAGAGAGGTCATTCGGTGGATGTGCGAGTAGCAGCTTCTTTGGTACCTTCAGGGTCCTCAGCTCCAGCACATATGCAGCAACGTTCATCATAGTCATCAAGGTCGAGAGGCAAGTTGGTCCCAGGAAATTTAATGAAAGGGAAGGAGAAGGGGCAGCAGCAGCCGCCTTCAGCAGGGATACAGGCGTTGGCCGGTTTGGGGGCTGCTAGTTGGGGTTCACAAAAAATTCATAACCAGCAGCCTTCCACACTAGTTGGAGAGTCACTTGAGGCAAGCCAGGTTGATGGGACATCAGATGGAGTGCTTGTGGGTGAGGAACAGTACCTTGGGGCCGGTCCTGAAGCCATGGTAGAGGCCGGAGTGTCAGCAGATGGCAATGTATTGGGAAGTGTTATGACGATGGTGGTGTTGTCTGACGGAGAGCTTACTCGAGTGCAGCGAAGCAAGCGGAATGCGGACGTGGATGATGTACACTCTCTTGAGAAAGGCAGAAAAAAGAGTTGCCATCAAAAATCTCGAGGATCCCCAAGGTAATGCTAAGGCAGTTATTAATTCAGTGGTTTCTTTTTCTAGTGATCGTATTGAGCAAAATTTAGGAGGGGTGGGGATCAGTCTTGTGAAACCTTCGTATGTTGGTAATTCAATTGATAAAGAATGTGAATCAGAGGAGGATGAGGTTGATCCTGATACTTCCACCATCAGTCGACTCTGTGGCGACTTGACGGAGGAAGTGATGGACGATAGTAATGTGTGCGTTGATGGTGTACTTGTTCGCATACCCATCAAGGTGGCAAAAAATAAAAAGTTTAAGAAACTCCTTAATAGGAAGGCGTCTGCAAAGAAAAAATTGTTCTAATGAAAGGGATTTTCTAGAATTGCACAGGTCTACGTGACCTGGCTAAACATACCTTTTTACATGATGTGGCCGAAGATAAAAGACTTAATTTTATAGCTTTATCAGAAACCAATAGAAATAGTTTCTCAACTCAGTGTCTGGAAAATTTCTGTGCGGGGACTGATTTTGTTTGGCATTGGCGATGTCCCCGGGGTATGTTTGGGGGGATGCTAATGGGAATAAATCGAGAAAGCTTCGAAGTAGAAAGTATTATTGATGGGGATTACTACATAAAATTTGTCTTAAGAAATAAGGTAGATGGTTTTCGATGGGCCCTTTTGTCAGTCTATGGCGCAGCACAGGAAGAGCACAAATAGAACTTTTTATCAGAGTTAGTACGTGCTTGCACTAGCTGCGGGGATCTACCTTTTATAGTAGGGGGGATTTCAATATAATTAGGAACCCGTCGGATAAAATAATTCAAGATATAATAATAAATGGCCACTTCTCTTTAATGCCATTATCGAAACTCTAAATCTAAGGGGACTAGAAATGTCGGGTAGAAAGTTCACTTGGGCTAATTATGCTGAAATTCCAACCTATGAGAAATTAGATCATATTTTGGTGACAACCGAATGGGAACAAAAATTTCCGTTGGCGACTGTCCAGGCTCTCACTCGAGAAATCTCTGATCACACATCACTCTTACTTGATGTAGGGGAACCATCTCACAGAGGCAATGCTAGGAATTTTAAATTTGAGCTAGGGTGGCTGACAAGGGATGGTTTTTTTATTTGGTAAAAGAGGTGTGGGAGTCTGAGAATAGGGGTAGAACACCATTGGAACGGTGGCAGTCTAAGATAAGGAGGCTGCGACGTTTTCTTAGAGGTTGGGCTAGAAATTTAGTCTCCCAAAACAAGAAACATAAGCTAGACCTGATGAATAAAATAGATATCCTCGATAGAAAGGCAGAAACAAATTTGCTATCATCTCAGGAGATAGAGCTTAGATACCATCTTAAAGGGCAATTAACTAAGTTGCTAAGAGAGGAGGAGATTTATTGGCTCCAACGATCAAAAGCAACAAAATTGTTGCAGGGAGATGATAATACTAAGTATTTTCATATGATAGCAAATGGGAGACATAGAAAAACAAAAATCACACAACTAGAACAGGAAGAAGGAATTATTGTTGGGGATGCGAATTTGAAAGATTATATAACCGATTACTACAAAAGATTGTTTGGACCTCATTTACAGAATTCTTTCTCATTGGACGAGACTCTGAGGCATGATATACCTTAAGTGTCGGAGGAGGAGAATGAAGTATTGGTGGCTCCATTCAGTGAGGAAGAGGTCAAAATGGCAATCTTTGATATGGAACATAATAAGGCACCAGGTCCGGATGGCTTTCCAGCAGAATTTTACCAAATCTTTTGGGATGTTGTCAAGCAAGATTTGATGAGTCTCTTTTATGAATTTTATATGGGGAGACTGCATATTCATAGTTTACATTTTGGGGTAATTACACTATTACCCAAGATCACGGATGCGACTAGGATACAACAGTACATACCTATTTGTCTCTTAAACGTGTCGTTCAAGGTTTTTACGAAGGTGTTAAATAATAGAATTTTGAAAGTGGCAGATAAATTGATAGGTCCGTCTCAAATGGCTTTTATTCCGGGAAGATATATAATGGAAGGTGTTGTAATACTACATGAAACAATACACGAGCTGCATAGGAAAAAGAAAGATGGAGTGATCCTAAAGCTGGATTTCGAAAAAGCGTATGATAATCTTAAGTGGCCTTTTATACAACAAGTCCTCAGAATGAAAGGATTCTCACCAGTTTAGTGTGAATGGATTTCAAAAGTCATGTCTAGAGGGAGTGTTGCAGTAAAGGTCAATGATAATTTAGGCCATTATTTCCAAACAAGAAAAGGAGTGCGGCAAGAGGACCCGTTATCTCCAATCTTGTTTAACATAGTGGTTGACATGCTGGCTATACTCATTTCACGAGCAAAAGAGGCCAAACAAATCCATGGAGTGGTTCCGCATTTGGTTGATGAAGGACTCTCAGTCCTTCAGTATGCGGATGACACTGTTATCTTTATGGACAATGATTTAGAGATGGCCAAAAACATGAAGCTCTTGCTTTATGCCTTTGAGCAATTATCGGGACTCAAAATCAATTTCCATAAGAGCGAATTATTTTGTTATGGAGCAGCTAATGCTAATCAATTGGACTATACACAAATTTTCGGGTATAATGTAGGATCATTCCCTTTTAGATATCTAGGAATTCCTATGCATCATCGAAAACTAATGAATAAGGACTGGAAACATGTGGAAGAAAGATTTCAAAAGAGACTGAGTGGTTGGAGGAGTAAGATGCTTTCAGTGGGTGGAAGGCTTGTCCTCATTAACTTGGTTCTGAGTAGTCTTGCTATGTTCATAATGTCCTTCTTTGAAATACCTAGAGGAATTTTGAAAAAATTGGATTATTTTAGATCTCAGTTCTTTTGGCAAAGCGATGAACATAAGAAGAAATATAGATTGACAAAATGGGAAGTAGTATGTACACCAAAAGACCAAGGAGGATTGGGTGTCCTAAATCTAGGTGTCCATAATAAGTGCCTCTTAAGCAAGTGGCTTTTCAAACTAATAAATGGTGATGGTGTTCGGCAAAAGTTGCTTAAAAATAAGTATTTAAGGGACAAGACTTTGACTCAGGTTCAATATATGCCCAGGGACTCTCAATTTTGGGCTGGCCTTATGAAGGTCAAGGGTGAGTTCCTGCCGATGAGTAGGTTTGATCTAGGTGATGGATCCCAAGTGTGTTTTTGGGAGGATTCGTGGATAACACCACGCCCTTTTAAGACGCTCTTCCCGTCACTATAGAACATTGTGAGAAAGAAAAGTGCATCTGTTAGAACGGTACTGTCTACGATACCGTTAAATGTAGCTTTCAGGAGATCTCTGATGGGGTTAATTTGCATGCATGGCACAATGTAGTGGCCATGGTTGCAGATGTACACTTAACAAACCAAAGGGATCGCTTTGTGTGGGGGCTGCATCAGAAAGGGTTGTTTTCAGTTAATTCCATGTACAGAGCATTATTAGATGTACAGGCTTTACCTTACAACACTTTAATTTGGAAACTTAAACTACCTCTCAAGATTAAAGTCTTTATGTGGTATTTATACAAAGGCGTAATTTTGACCAAGGATAATTTAGCTAGGTGACAGTGGTAAGGAGATAGGAAGTGTTGTTTCTGTTTCACTAATGAGACCATACAACATTTATTCTTTGACTGTCATTATGCTAAATTTATGTGGAGAATTGTTCTTATTTCCTTTAACCTGAAACCCCCAACTAGTATACACAATTTGTTTACAGGTTGGTTGGAAGGGTTAAATAGGAAAAGAAAGTCTCAAATTCTTGTGGGTGCAAGTGCCATTTGCTGGGCTCTTTGGTTAACTTGAAATGATGTTGTGTTTGACAAGGTCATAGCACCGTCTTATTTGCAGGTTATCTTCAAGGGAATATATTGGACCAGGTACTGGACATTACTTCAGAAGGAGGAGGATCGCCATTTCATGAAGGCGGGCGGTAGGATTATTGAGACGAACGTGATGGAGGTGTTTCCTAGACACGGCTGGCGTTTTAGCAACAGAATTGCTCTTTAGTCTTTCCTTTTGAAAATTCTGCTGTATTCATGGTTCAAAACTTCGTATTTGAGATTCTTTGGACTTTTTTTTTTTGCTCGCCTGTAATAATGAACAGCCATATGCATTAGTCGATGCAGAGGCAGGGATATTAATATATTCCCTTTTGATAAAAAAAAACCTCTTCAGCCGGTTCTCCGATATGAGCGCCATCCTCAACCCCACTGTCCGCCTCTTCCTTTCATCCTCCCTGTCATGTCCTACCTCTTCTCCGAGGCCAAAAATGAAGCTTCTGCCTTGGCTACGGCGGCTACTATGCATAGATCTAGGCCCAGTAACAGCAAACTGCTTAATGGTGGTAGTGGCACCACCGAGGTGCCAGTGCCATTGTGAGTCCGAGGCCCGACGATCCTCGTGGATGCTTCTTGTGGAGCTCCTCCGCACGAAGGTGGAGACGATCCTGGTGAACGTGGGCGCGCAGTCCTACTCGAGCACCATGGATCGCGCTTCTCGCATCTCGTGGCTGGGGTACCTCGTCTTCTACAGCCTGAGCGGCACAGGCAAGAAGGCGATCTATGGCACCCTGTGGGTGTTCGCTGCGGCGAAGCTGCTGCAGCGGGTCGCCATCAACGAGCTGCTCAAGCGTTCCTTCACCTATGGCAGGAACGCCGAGCAGCTCGGCTGGTACATGGACCTGATTCTACGAAGAAATAAGAAGCAGGATCAGCATCCAGACGACGACGGCGGACCTGCGGAGCTGTTGAAGAGGGTGTAAGTACGCCGTGATGGGTGAAGAGGAGTCGGAGATGACGGTTAGCCCCGAGGAGGGCTGCTATCTCCATCTGGAGAAAACTGAGCCGCCCCACACTCTCCTTCAAGCAGTTGTCGCTGCTCAGTTTCTTGGGCCGTCTGTCGTCGCCCATGGCTCTGCTGCCTAGGAAGAAGGCGGCGGTGCCCATAGAAGTAAAGGAGTCCATCGTGGAGTACCTAGTGGCTCACGTCGTCGTCGATGGCGACAGCGACGCCGCTGCCCCTCTCAGCAACGGCTGGTCCACGCTGTGGTCGGAGAAGCACTGCAGCTCCCGGCACCTCTCCAAGGCGTGCGAGAGCAAGAGCCTCGCCGAGGTCATCCTCACCTGGCACATCGCCACCAGCTTGCTGGAGTTGAAGTACCCGCTGGAGAAGAAGGCCCGGATGGGAGCTCATCGTAAGGTGGCGACGACCCTGTCCAGGTACACTGCTTACTTGGTGGCCTCGTGCCCGGAGCTGCTCCCCGACGATACGGAAGGGACCAAGCGTGTGTATGCTAACGTGAAGGAGGAGCTGAAGAAGGTGATGGGAGGGTGTTGGAGGTACCATGTGTCTCTCGAGGGCACTGTCTACAACAAGCTGGTTAATATCGCACTCGCGCAACGGAGGAGGAGACGACCATGGTGGTGCACAAGGGAGCACAGCTGGGGAACCAGCTGATGGAGATGGCTGAAGATCAAGTGTGGGAGCTACTAGCCAACCTCTGGACGGAGCTGATGGTGTACATGGCACCGTCCAGCGGCGAGTTGCACGTGAAGGCACACAAGGAAGCCCTGGAGCAGGGCGTCGAGTTCATCACCGTGCTCTGGGCGATGTGCACCCACACCGGTGTAGCCAGGCCAGCCGTTGCGCCGTGGGAGGAAGCACGTCGTACGTGCGTCTCATCCATAGTGCATGCATGCTGCATGATGCATTGTAGCGTGTGTGTGCTGTTATTCATGCATGGCATGACCTTGATTGTTGCTTTTCTGCTGAGTCTGTCTACTACATAATCATGTGTTTTATGCAGTTTCAACACATAAATTTTTCTGCACCATAAGATTAAGATCCAATAGCCTCCACCCTTCTTCTACCTCTAGCTTCCAACCTTCTTTTACCTTCAGCCTTCTTCTACCTTCAGACAATCACAAATCATAAGATCACAGATCCACAGATCACAGATAACATGAAATAATTTTTTTTTCTATGGAAGGACAAATCATAGATCCGCTGCCGCTGCCGCCACCGCCACTGCCGCTACTATGGCCGGCGCGGGCGCGGGCGCCAGGGCGAGCTCGCCGGTCACCGTCGCCGGCGCCGGTGGTCACCAGTGAGAAAGAGAGATGGAGAGAGAGAAAAAAATCCATATGTTTTTTTGTGCTAAAACACATGTGTGTTGTATAGCATTTCTGTTTCTGTTACATGTATGTGTTCCTTTCTTCCGAATGCATGCGTTGCAGTGCCATCTGCCATGGTATATATGTTTGGGTTTTGCTCCATTTCCCAGCAGCTAGCATCCTAGTGTGGCTTCGCTTCCGGTTTGTGATAGATTTGCCCACACTTTGGCATGGCATAAGCATTAATTTCTCAAAAGAAAACAGTTACCGGTTGCCTAGCAGTTTCAGTCATCCCCGATTTCCATGACTGTTCGACTATACAAGCAATACAATTGTATAGTAATCAAACTTCCCAGAAGACAGCATTGACGCATTGTCACATTCAAAATTTATAGACCAACCAAAAAATAGTGAAGAAATGGCAACAGTAAGCATGCATAGCTCCTCTCTCGCTCTCGAGAGAAAAAAAAATCAGTAGGCACGGTATCAAGAGCATCGGCAGCTCCAGTGCGACGTCCAATAGAGATCCGGAGGCCGAGTCCAACATGTTTGAGATCTCGCGTTGCGAGACTAATAATCGTGATGGCCGGAGAATGACAGGTGGCTGCCATGTGCCTCCACCATGCATGATGCGGCTCATCCTAGCAACGCGAAGCATGCATGTCCCCCACAATGGTGACAACTACGCAGATTAGGACCTGGGCGGCATGACTGCATGCAAACATAAACTATTCCCAACCGAGCCCAGCCCATGCCCCGTGTGTCAGGATCCCACAGTTGTTCCAACTTAAAACATTTCCAAAACCTACCTTGAAAACTCTGAATCCTAACCAACACCTCCCTTGGCCCATGACCTGAAACCCTGCTAATCACCGTAACCCGTCCAGATCACGAGTCTCTGTTAACCCTGGCACCAGACCCTTATTCTTTGACCTTCGTCTTCATGCAATGGATAACCTTGCCAACCTAATGGAAACACTCCTGACTTCAACCTTCGTTCAACAAGGACCCACTTTAGCTAGTAATCTTCACAACACCATTCCGGTCAAAACCAAGTCAACTCAAGTCAACCTTGGTTACCCGCTCGTTTGACTTAAGCCAAACCCTAAAGTTATCACCCAAAGAGTGTTCTCTGAGCCCTAAGTGGTTCCTACAACTTTCTATGAGTTGCATTAGAACCCCAATTTCAATCTATTTATCTTTATTCTGCAAATTCCCAAAATTCATGTTCTGCTGGACTATTTGATCTCCTGATGGACTGTCTGCCAGAACACTGAGTAAGCATAATTCATTTAGATGAGCTGCCCTCTCCCCACCCTTGGCCCCACCTGTCAGCATGAATGGAGTGACTTAGTCACCAGAACCCACTCTCTCCACTTCATCCACTCACTATCGTCCCTTCCCCTCGCTTCAAGTGGAGAAAACAAACTAGAGAGGGGAAGAGGAGAAGCAAGAGAATGAAAAGGAAAAAGAAGAAGAGATCCAAGCCAAGACCAAAGGACCTCCATCTCAAGAAGAGGGTGGAAAATCATCATCTCCATCTCCATCTTTTGAGTGAGCTCAAGAACACCTCATTTCTTTCTCAAATGCAAAAATCTCAACCCTAACTCTTGATTTCACCTTGCATGTGGAGAAGATGAAGGTGCTAGAAACCCAATTCATCTCAAGTGTGAGCCCTACTCCCCTCTAACTCCTCCATCTCATGAATTCCTCAAATTCCTCTCTAATTGGAGGTATGTGTTTCATGCAAAGACAACCCCAAATTCCTATCATTCCATCTCCCTCACATGGATGCAAGAAGGATCAATGCACAAGCTTGGACTTGGTGACCCTAGGTCACCAATCCACCAAAGTTAAGTTACTGAAAGCTCTAGTTTGGTTTTGGTGAATTGATGAAACCCTAAGTGCTAACCTAGTTTATCAAAGTGATTATGAGATAGGTATCACTACTCTAAGCAGTGAAGCAAATGAAGATCATGAAATGATAATGGTGATGCCATGATGATGATCAAGTGCTTGGACTTGGAAAAGAAGAGAGAAAAACAAAAAGCTCAAGGCAAAGGTAAAATTGATAGGAGCTTTTTGGTTTAGTGATCAAGACACTTAGATAGTGTGATCACATTTAGGATCGATAGTCGTACTATTAAGAGGGGTGAAACTCGTATCGAAATGCGGTTATCAAAGTGCCACTAGATGTTCTAACTCATTGCATATGCATTTAGGATCTAGTGAAAAGCTAACACCCTTGAAAATGCTTGTGAAAATATGCTAACACACATGCATAAGGTGATACACTTGGTGGTTGGCACATTTGAGCAAGGGTGGAGAAGTTGGTGATAGTCACTGAGATGCAGTGATCGGACGCTAGTCACGCAGTGATCGGACTCTGACCCTGCGTCCGATCAGTGGCACGCAGTGAAGGCCGCCCTCGGTCTCTTGACCGAACACAGGCGACCAGACTCTGGCTGAACACTATTCAGCGTCCGGTCCTACTGATGTGGCGGCGCACAGAGTAGACCGTGAGTGACCGGACGCTGGGCTAGTCCGGTCAGGCGTGACCAGACGCGTTCGGTCACAAATTTCCACCTCTAGAACCTTACCGGAAGTGACCGGATGCTGGGGTCCTGTGTCCGGTCCTACACTGTAGTGCGCCCGGTCACAACTTAAGTGTACTGATGACCGTTGAGATCAGGCAATCAACATTTCAAGCAGGGGACACGTGGCAAAATTTTGAGGACCGGACGATAGGGTCCTACGTCCGGTCGATCTGATCGGCGCGTCCGGTCGCCCCAACTTTTTAGTGAACAGAGAGCCAACGGCTCTATTTGTGGGGGCTCTCTATTTAAGCCCCATGGCCGGCCCAAGCTCACTCTCTTGGCCATTTGCATTGATATAGCAACCTTGTGTGCTTAGCCAAAGCCCTTCCACTCATCTCCATCATTGATTCATCATCTTTATGAGATTGGGAGAGAATCCAAGTGCATTGCTTGAGTGATTGCATCTAGAGGCACTTGGTGTTCGTGTTTCGCTGTCGGATTCACTTGTTACTCTTGGTGGTAAGCTCTTTAGTGTAGCTAGAATTGAGAGCTTGCTTTGTAGCTTAAGTTCATCTAGTGGAGCTCTTTAGTGTAGCAAGTGTGAGAGCTCTTAGTGAGTAGTGACTTAGTAAATTGTGTGTCTAGTGATCATAGTAACTAGAATAGTTGGATAGGTGGCTTGCAATCCTTATAGAGCTAGAGCAAGTTTGCTTTTCGCTATTTGTCATACTAATCAAATTGTTCTAGTTGGTTTGTAGATTTTGAAATAGGCTATTCACCCCCCTCTAGCCATAGTAGGACCTTTCAAGTGGTATTAGAGCCGTGGTCACCATTTGATTGAAGGCTTCACAACCTTGGTGTTAAATTATGGCTCAAGTTATGTTCAACCATGTGGGGGGCAAACCACTATTTCTTTGATGGCACAAGCTATGATTATTGGAAAAGAAAGATGAGGATGTATCTTGGTTCAATCAATGATCAAGTATGGGATGTGACCGAGAATGACTATGCTATCATTGATCCCGACAATCTCACCAACCAATATAAGACCAACAAGCAATGCAATACAATGGCTCTCAACACCATATACAATGCCATTGATTCCAAGGTGTTTGAGCAAATCAATGATTGTGAGAGAGCTAATGAGGTGTGGAAGAGATTGGAGGAAACATATGAGGGCACACCGGTGGTGAAGAGTGCCAAGTTGTATATTCTCAAGGACAAGTTGACAAGCTTTAAGATGAAGGAAGATGAGAGCATTCCGGAGATGTTCCATCGATTGCAAGTGATTGTCAATAATTTGAAGGCATTGGGAGAAAAGGTAAATGATGATAATGTCTCTTATCGGTTCTTGATGTGCTTACCTCTAAGATTTGAGATGTTGAGATTGCTTATCATAAGAGGCAATTTGAAGGAGATTACCCCTCATCAAATACTAGGTGATGTCATGACACAAGAGACATACCGTGTGGAAAAGGAAGGGGTTGACAAGGATGACAAGAAGGAAGATGAAGACAAGAAGAAGAAGAGTGTAGCATTCAAGGCTAGCTCATCATCCAAGAATAAGGGCAAGTCCAAGAAAGAATCAAGTGATGATGAGGATCATAGTGACACTGATGATGAGGCCATGGCTCTATTTGTGCGCAAAATGGGCAAATTCATGAAGAAGAAGGGCTATGGTGCAAGAAAGAGAAGAGATCACACCAAAAGCAAAGAATATGTGAGAAGATGCTACAATTGCAAGAGCCCCAATCACGTTGTAGTGGATTGTCCCCACAATAGTGACAATGATGAGGATAAGAAGAAG